GATAGATAGATAGATAGATAGATAGATAGATAGATAGATAGATAGATAGATAGATAGATAGATAGATAGGTAGATAAATACACACACGCACGCACGCACGCAGATAGACATATATATACCATGCATAACTAAAAATCAGAACTATTTGCACAACGTATTAATTACATACAAGTAGATACAGAAGTCTGTAATAGTAATGTTTAGAGCAACCATTAAGGATCTAACTATGATATATGCATGAAAAATACTAAAACATGCACATAATACATAAACTACATTTGTGTTACCTTTGCTAGTATCAATGACAATTTGAATTTTCTTAAAAGCACCAACATCTTCCAATTTTGACTTTGCTTCTAATGATTTCAGGATTACCTGCAATAAATATTTCGACATTGATGCACATACAAATGGATCTAGGATTTCAAAATGGAAATGGTCCACAAAATATGGATATATAATGTCAATCAACAACGAAAGACCACGGTTATATTGACTGAAGACTGCTATTTTTGAGAAATTACATAGCTGCTGTACGAACAGTGTTCATCTGAATGCTAGCCATCCATGAATTCTATTATAACGCATAAGTCAGAGCACCACAGTTGCATACATATAAATGCCCATAAATGGCAATCTCCACTTGGACACTCACATCTTCAAACTTTTTTGCTTGAAATATCTGCTTGACCTCTGGCACTACAGCATCGTTTTTCGTCCGTCCTAGCCCATCAATGTGAATTCGCTCTACCGTGACCTAGAGTGTAAACATTATCTTAGTTCCATGATGAACTTAAACGACATAACTACGCAATAGATAATAGCGTACACGGATTATTCTCAGTTTAGGAAATGAATCAAATTCACTGGCAGTAGATACACATAAACATTCTTTTAAAAGTTATTCAGAAACTACACTATAGTTGAACTTTCAAAATCAATTTACAATTGATATTGGCATGAAGATATCTATACATTCAGGGTTTCTTATACATAACAGGCACAGTGGCCCATCGCCTTTGTCAAATTTAATATTGCTATTGTGAAAATGGTTTCAGGGTGTCTCGAATGCAGTCTAAGACATTCAAATTTTTAAAATTTTGCTGGGTGAGACTCCCTAGAACCCCCCACCCCCAGCGAGAGGGGGCGTCCCCCCCACCCCGCGCGTCCGCCTGCAGCGTTTGCATGCATGCCTATGGCTCGCCTTTGAATCCATCATGTGCTTTTTTTTCCAAACCGGCCATTACCTCCTTTGTCTAATTTTACCCTCAGAAGAAACCCTGACATTGTTGAGACTTTTTCATCATTATTGCAGAAAATATTCTAAAACCTGTCATAATGCTCTGATAATACTAGTACTCACCGAGACATCGTTCACACGCACAGATATGACATTCGAATCAATCAAATCGTCGCCTTTTATTTCCTAAAACAGGCAATACTTTGATTTTGCATATTTATACTGAGCATGATATACCTTGTACGAGGGAAGGGCAGTTATGCAACTAACAAAAGAGGATGGATCTTCCAATCGGACAGAAGACCCTATATGATATATGATATGATTGACAGAACAAACTGTGTATTGACGGCTGGAGCTCAGATGCAAAATGATGCAAAATAAACCAGGTAAGGCTTATCAATAATGACAATATCAACACCACCCACCTTTGACTAGTTGTGGGGATAACCTCAGCTCATAATGATAATATATATACTTATATTTTCAAGCTTGCATTGCGTTGCATTGCACCATTGCATTGCATTGCATTGTAGACAAGCCACATGTTAGTACTGTAATGAGTGTATTTAAGTTAGTATTGTAAGCACAGAGCGTTTTGTCGGCTGCATAAACTGCAGTATCCAAATCTGGGTGCATTATCATGATATTTATGAAGTGAGATTTAGGACAGCGTGCGAGCTTGGCACTCGCCCGCTCGCCAATGTCGAGTGAAAATAATATCGAGCGAGTGAAAGCTAAAAGCTGACTGCTCCCTGTGGCGAGTAAAAATAATTGTTCTAGACTTTTATTTTGTCAATCAAATGTTGGTTCACTTACGTTATATATCGCAAACATTGATGAAATAACAGTTGTAGGCGATTGTGAAGGACGGCTATCCGCACGACATCCTCAACTTTATATTATCAAAGGTTGCCGAGAAATCCAGCCCGCGAGAAGCGTGCATGCCAGCACGGCGGTGCTGTGTATTACGTGCTGAGGCGGCATAATGCATTGATGTAGCGGGGGAGGGGGGGGGGAGTGCAGGATGTTTTAAAAGTCACATTGGCCTTGGTGTTAACAAGGTCAATAAAATGCGCGTAACGTGGATTTCATGATGGGCAAAGCAGCCCGAGAATAAAAAGTAATTAAAATGAACAATAAAGACAGGAACTTTTCAGAGGATGTGTGCCTTGAATTTTTTTTGAGAAGGCAGTGATCAAGTAAATTACATGTGATTTAATCAATGGTGTTTTGTGTTTTTTCAAGGCTATTGTTTGACAAGCATTTTGTTTTAAAATGTGGGCGAGTAAGATTCGCGTTTGGGCGAGTTATACTTATTGGACTCACTCAGCCAGTTTGGCGAGTGTTACGGGCTGCTCTAAACACTGTAAGAAGTAATCTATTACGAGTTACATTCGCGATTCGCCGGTACTGACTTAGTTACGCATATTTGTATTCACATCTGCGTATCTGCGTATATCTTGGGCTCCTCTCTAAGTCGCCTTGTAGTGTATTTCACAAGGCAACTCGATTCAACGAAAGTCGGGATTATCAGAAAAAAAGGGCATTTTGACGTTGTTTTTTTCAAGGCTTTTTTGGTTTAATCGTATGGCTGTAAATGATAGCGCAAGTGGCTGGAGGTACGGTAAGCCGTCGTCGTTGAAGCCCCTTTTGTGCGTTAGGGTTCTGGGTTAGGGGTTAGGGTAGGTTAAGGATTTAGGGTTAGGGTTAGGTTTAGGTTAGGT